TATATATATATCCTTCTCTTTTACCTTCAATCTCTACCTTTCTCTTGGCCCTTCCAATGCTGCCTCAAATATGCTTAGTTCCCAATTCCCACTCTACAATTCTCTTTACAATTCAAAATCCTGTAAAATGTAGATCTTGTGTGCTATGTCCCCCACTGTGCCATTCTCTCCTTTCTTAGGGCTTTACCATCTGGCTTTCATCTACATGGACTCATCTCCTGTAACTGATTCTGGGTGCTCACCTTTAACTTTTAGTGATCTGCAATCCACCAGTAGGTGGGTTTTGTGAATGGTCTAAGTTTCAAAGTTCTTTTTTCCGTATGGATGTACAGTTTTCGAGCACCATTTATTTAGAAGGTCATCCTTTCCCCCACTCCTTTGAGTTGGCATCTTTGATGCAAATCAGGTAACAGCAATGTGTGGATTTGTTTCTGGACTATTTTGTTCCATTGGTCTATTTGTCATGCACCACACCATACACTTAATAATTACCTTTTGAATAAGTCTTGGTGACTGAGTGCAATTCTCCACCTTTTTTACTTCCTCTTCAAGATTGCTATGGCTAGTCTTAGCCCTTTGCATTTCTATGTATTACATATTTTTGAATGAACTTGTCAATCTACACAAAAATAGCTGCGGGACTCCTTATGGGATTGCTTTGAATCTGTATGTCAATGTGGGGAGAACTACCTCCTTTACAATAATGCATCTTTTTAGGAATATTGTATATTTTTATTTAGTTCATCTTAAGTAATCCTCTCAGTAATATTTTATAGTTGCCTCAGTAGAGGGCACGCACACCTTTCATCACATGTGTTTATCACGGTTTTAATGCCATTCAAACGGTATTGTTTATATGTAATTTTCTAACTGTGGCTGTCACACAGAAATTCAATGAACTTACTACAATCACTTTTTAGATTCTATTAGTTTTCCTATACTTTCTTTTGAATTCTCTAGGTGTATAAATATGTCATATACACATATGGATAGCATCATTATATGCTTTTACAACCATTATACTTTTCTCTTTCTTGTCTTATTGTACTGCCTGGGACTTCTAGCACAATGTTAAATAAAAGTGATGTTATCAGCTATTGGTCTCGTTCTTTTTTAAAAAATTTTATTTTACTGAAGTATAGTTGATTTACAATGTTGTGTTAATTTCTACTGTACAGCAAAGTGACTCAGTTATACATATATATAATCAGTCATTCTTGATCTCGGGGAAGTTTTCAAAATTTTATCCATGAGAATGTTTGTACAGTTTCTTTTTTGAAGGGTGGGTCTTTTATTAGATTAAGAGAGTTTCCTTCTATTCCTAACTTGATAAGAGATTTTTATAATAAATTAATGTTCTATTTTATCTAATTATTGTTATATATTTAGTGTAATGATTGTAGCGATTTTCTCCTTCATAATTTAAATGTGGTGATTTACATTCATTGCTTTTAAAATGTTTAACTAATCTCATATTCCAGGAATAAATTTCCCATGGTCATGTTCTATTACTGTTTTTATAGACCACTGAATTCTACTGGCTAATATTTCATTTATTTTTTTAAACTACGGTCAGAGAGAAACTGGCCTGTAAATATTCTTACTTGTCATGTTCTCAATAGGTTTTGGTAGTGAGGATATGCTGACCTCAAAAAGGATTTGAGAAGTATTCCTGCCTTCTCTGGAACAGTTTGCGTAACATTGCCGATATTCTTTCTTAAACAGTTGGAAGAATTCCATTTGGAGCCATCTGGGCCTGGAGTTTTAATTGTGACATGATTTTTATTTAAGGATTCAAATTTTAAAATAGTTATAGACCCGCTCAGATTTTATCTTTTTTCCTATGCTAGCTTGATAAGTTTTCTTTTTAAAGGAATTTGTACATTTTGTCTAACTTTTAAGTGTGCTACCATAAATACTCTCTTAATAATTTTTTATCTTTATAGCATCTTTAGTGACATCTTTTCCTGAAAATGGTAATTTGTGACATATCTTTTTTCACTGGCCTTACTAAGGTTTTTTTGATTTTTATAGTCTTCTCAAAAACACACTTGGCTTTTTAATTTCTCCTTAAATTTTCTACTTTATTTTTATTCCAGGTCATGTTGTTTATTTTCTTTTTCTACTTTCTCTTGACTTGACTGGCGTTTAAACATTTCTTCTGATAACTTATATTACTGATTTTATAGCCTTTTTTCCTTTCTCTTTATGGAACTAGAGCTATAAATCTTCCTCTGTTTACTGTTTTAGCTGTAATCCACAATTCTTGACATGCCATATTTTATCACTTAGTTAAAAATATCGTGTAATCTACACTGTGATTTGTTTTTTGACTTATGAATGATCTAGAGTATCTGCTTAATTTCCCTATCTGGTGACTTTCTAGTTATCTTCTTGGAGCTGATTTTTGGCTTAATTCCACAGTGGTCCAAGAAAATACAGTATATGCTTCAATCTCTTAAAATTCATTATACTTGCTTTTTCGTCTATCAGATAGTCTATTTTGGTAAATGCACCATGTACATCTGATAACAATGTGTATTTTCTCATTGCTGGTTATAACTGTAGATAGGTAGAGTGTGTGTGTGTGTGTGTGTGTGTGTGTGTGTGTGTGTGTGTGTGTGTAAACAATATCTATGAAAATTTGTGGAAACTCTGGGTGACCAGAAATAGATGGACAGATATCATGTTGTTGAAATGTCTTTTTTCTTAATGACATTTTTTGTCTGATTCTTCAATCAGTTTCTGAAAGATGTATAATCTCCGAATTGTAGATTTGATTTTTCATTTTACTTCTGACAAGTTTTGCTTTATATATTTTGCTGACATGTCATTTGATACATACAAATTTAGAAATGAAATATCTTTTTAAATTTTATTTTTGAAATATTTTAATTGAAGTATAGTTGATCTACAATGCTGTGTTAGTTCCTAGTGTATAGCAAGGTGAGTCAGTTACGGTTTCGTGTATAAATATATATATATATATATATATATATTCTATTTCATATTCTTTTCCATTATGGTTTGTTACAGGGTATTGAATATAGTTCCCTGTGCTACACAGTAGGACCTTGTTGTTTATCTATTTTATACATAGTAGTTTGTATCTACTAATCCCAGACTCCTAATTTATCCCTCCCTCCCCCTTCCCCTTTGGTAACCATAAGTTTGCTTTGTGTCTATGAGTGTTTGTTTTGTAAATAAGTTCATTTGTATCATATTTTAGAGTCTAAATATAAGTGACATCATATGATATTTTTCCTTCTCTGTCTGATTTACTTCACTTAGTATGATAACCTCTAGGTCTATCCATGTTGCTGCAAATGGCAATATTTCATTCTTTTTATGGCTGAGTAGTATTCCACTGTATATATGTACCACATTTTCTTTATCCATTCATCTATCAATGGACATTTAGGCTGCTTCTGTGACTTGTCTATTGTAAATAGTGCTGCTATGAACATTGTGGTACATGGTACATGAACTCTTTTTGAATTATGGTTTTCTCAGGGTATATGCCCAGTAGTGGGATTGCTGGGTCATATGGTAGTTCTATTTTTAGTTTCTTAAGGCACCTCCATACTGTTCTCCATAGTGGCTGTATCAATTTACATTTCCACCAACAGTGCAAGAGGGTTCCCTTTTCTCCACACCCTCTCCAGCATTTGTTATTTGTAGACTTTTTGATGGTGGCCATTCTGACCAGTGTGAGGTGGTACCTCTTTGTCATTTTGGTTTGCATTTCTCTAATAATTAGTGATGATGAGCATCTTTTCATGTGCCTGTTGGCCATCTGTATCTCTTCTTTGGGGAATTGTCTATTTAGGTCTTCTGCCTATTTATTTTTAAAGTTTGAACAAAAAGAAAAATGATATTTATTTATTTGTTCTGCCCATTTTTTGATTGGGTGGTTTGGTTTTTTTTATTGAGTTGTATGAACTGTTTTTATATTTTGGAATTTAATCCCTTGTTGGTCACATCATTTGCAAATATTTTCTTCCATCCCATAGGTTGTCTTTACATTTTGTTGATGGCTTCATTTGCTGTGCAAAAGCTTGTAAGTTTGAGTAGGTCCCATTTGTTTATTTTTGCTTTTATTTCTATCGCCTTGGGAGACTGACCTAAGAAAATGTTGCTATGATTTATGTCAGAGAATGTTCTGCCTATGTTCTCCTCTAGGAGTTTTATGGTGTCATGTTTTATGTTTAAGTCTTTAAGCCATTTTGAGTTTTTTTTTGTATGGTTGTGAGGGAGTGTTCTAACTTCATTGATTTACATGTAGCTGTCCAGCTTTCCCAACATCACTTCCTGAAGAGACTGTCTTTTCTCCATTGTATATTCTTGCCTCCTTTGTCAAAGATTAATTGAGCGTAGATGTGTGGGTTTATTTCTGGGCTCTCTGTTCTGTTCCATTGATCCATATGTCTGTTTTTGTGCCAATACCACGATGTTTTGATTGCTGCAGCTTTGTAGTATTGTCCGAAGTCTAGGAGGGTTATGCCTCCAGCTTTGTTCTTTTTCCTCAGGATTGCTTTGGCAATTCGTGGGTCCTTCATGGTTCCATGTAAATTTTAGAGTAATCATTAATTTTGTGAAAAATGTCATGGGTAATTTGATAGAGATCAAATTAAATCTGTAGGTTGCTTTGGGTAGTATGGCCATTTAACAATATTAATTCTTCCAATCCAAGAGCATGGGATATCTTTCCATTAGATATCTTTCCCATCTTTTTGTTGAATTGCTCCTTTAATCATCATGAAAAATTTCTCTCTCTCAAAGTATTTCTTATCTTAAAATCTATTTTGTCTAATATCAGGATAGCTGTGTAATTTTCCTTTCAATTATTTCTTCATCTTTTCACTTAACATTTCCAGACTCATGTTTTAGGTGAATAAACTGTAAGCAAGATCTTTTGGGTTTTGCTATTTTATCTAGTAGGACAATACTTGTTGGCTAGAGTATTAATCTATTTGCATTTAATGATTACACTTAATTTTCTGATACATTAAATTTTAAATCTATCATCTTGCTTCCCTCACCCTCAGTTTCCTACTTGTTCTTCCTTCTTTTCATTATCGTTTCTTGACTTTTATGTAATGTTGTTTTATCCTCCTCCCCTTCCCCATTATCTTATTGATGCATAGTATTATATTATACCTTAAGGGGTTACACTATAAATTATAATACACATCCACGATATATTCAAAGCTTTTTAAAGTGAGTGTTTTACACTTTTCAAACAAGTCAAGGATCTTGTATTTACTCAGTGTATCACTCTTCTACCTTTTCATGCTATTGCTGTCTTCTATTTTAAATTTATTTATTTATTTATTATTTATTTTTGGCTGCATTGGGTCTTCATTGCTGTGCACAGGCTTTTTCTAGTGGTGGTGAGTGGGGGCTACTCTTCATTGTGGTGCATGGGCTTCTCATTGCGGTGGCTTCTCTTGTTGCAGAGCACAGGCTCTAGGCGCACGGGCTTCAGTAGTGGCTCATGGGCTCTAGAGCACAGGCTCAGTAGTTGTGGCACACGGGCTTAGTTGCTCCACAGCATATAGGATCTTCCTAGACCAGGGATTGAACCTGTGTTGCCTGTATTGGCAGGTGGATTCTTAACCACTGCATCACCAGGGTAGTCCTAATCCTATGTATATTTTATTCTACAGATTTTTAAAATTTTGTATAGTTAATGTGTTTATTTTTTAATTTTTATGTTTTTAATGTGTTTTAAATGTACACATTTGTTCACCTTCTTTAATGATTGTAATTCTTTACTATATTACTGTATTTTAATGTTGAGTCATTTTCCTTGTCTGAAGGCTTAGAGTATATTTTTGGTGAGAGTCTGCTGGAAATAAGTTCTGTCAACTTCTCAGTTATATAAATGTTTTTATTTTCCTTTATTTTTGAAGGCTACGTTTGACACTTGTAGAATTCTAAATAGCTGTTTTCTTTCAGCACTTAAAAGATATCATTGCACTGTATTCAGGTTTCAGTTAACTTCTACTGAATAATCAGCCAACTGTTTTATTGCAGCCCTTTTGAAGGTAAAGTGTCTTCCCTTTCTTGACCCAGTACATTTAAAGATTTCTTCTTCTTTTTGATTTTAAGCAGTTTTCTATGATGTACCTACAGGTAGTTTTCCTTGCATTTACCCTTCTTAGGATTTACAGAAATTCTTGAACTGTGGCTTCATGTTTTTCATCAGTTTTGTAAAATCCACATCTAGTAACTCTTCACACACTGCTCTAGTACTGTTTCTCTCTTCTCCTTTTCTGGAACTCAGGTCTTTGTATATTAGACCTTTTTATAATTTGTCCCATATATCCCTGTTCTATTTTTTCTATATTTTGTATTTTTTCTATGTTTTTATATGAATATATTCTTCAAAAATATGTTCCAGTTATTTTAAGCCCTCTTCTGCTATGTATATTCTGCCATTAGGTCCATCTATCACATTCCTAATTTCATCCTATTTCAGTTCTACAATGTCCATTTTATTCTTCTTATAGGTTCCATTTTTCTGTTGAAATTCTCCCATAATTTGAAGTACACATCAAACTCTATGTCTGATAAGACTAATTTCTCTTTTTCTCTTGGATTCTAGTCATTTGGTCCTGTTGCCTGGCAGTCTTTAATCTTTTGTTAAATATTGTGCATTGTCTATGAAAAATTGTGGAACCTTTGGTCGATCATTTCCTCCAAAGTGGATCTGAATTTCTTCTTGTAGACAGAATGTAGGGAGATCACCACAATCTAGAAAAGACTGGGTTTTAGACTGGGCTATTTCCAGTTTGCCCTTATTTTTAGGACAGAGTCCTTCAGGGATCTCACCTGAAAACCTGGGATGTTTATAATGCTTCTTCTTTCTTAGGAAGCCTGGCTTTCTAATTTTTATCTCCCCAGCATTGTGAGACTACTGAAGTCTCTGCTTGGTTTTTAATCTCTTAGTGCCTGCTTTCTACCTGTTTATTTCTGCCTCACTCTCCACACACGGGCAGATTAAGGATCAGAGAATACCTCAAGAAGAAACTGCATGCAGCATGCTATACTTACTTCTCTGTAGTTCCTGTTATTCTAGGATGTTGGTCCCACAAGACAAAGCAGCCTTCAGAGCCTTGAACACCAATGTTTGTTTCTCTAGCCCAGGGAGATCACTATAAACTCTGGGTTACTGTTCTCTATTTGACCACCATGACTTATATGGCAAATTGGTAAATGCGTGTAGATGGAGAGGACTGGAGAGAAACTGCAGCAAATACAGGGTTCACCTCAATGCATTTCTTTTCTCAGGGACCTTAGCTTCTCAATCCCTGGTTGCCTCAATTGCTTTCTGATACTGTTTAATTTTATTTTGCTTTTATACTTGGTCTTCAGTGAGCATGTTAGTCTGATTTAAGTTAGTGTAGTTTAGTTAGTCTACACAGAGCCAGAAGCAGAATTCTCTTGGCAAATAGCTCCCTTGTTCATTTCCCTATTCCCAGTCAATACCAACGCTTAGGCACATGTACTGCATGTTTAACTCTTCCTTCTTTCTTTTACCCTCATGTGTCTTTAGTAGACAAATTCTGTAAATTCTATCTTTGAAATTTCTCTCCCATACATCTTCATCCTTTACATTTTTACTACAATCACTCTATTAGGTATATATACCCTTCCCTACCCCCCTCCATTCTCTACCTTTTCCAACCCCCACAATGCCTAATGAAAGTGGTAAAAGCTTCACAGTATTTATATAATCTAGTTCAAAACCACGTTTCCTACATTACTTTCTACTAATTTTGTAAAGATACCCTGTACTCCACTGAAATGAAACTATTTCCCATGGACCATAGCCCGTGTATTCCTTCCTCCATAATTATGCTCATAACTTTCCTTTTGTTTTCTTGCCATAGCCCAAACATTTCAAAGTCTGTATCAAATGCTATCCCATCCATAAATACTGTGTAGAGTCATTGAAATGGGGTAATATCTCTCTTCTGTGAGACCCCATTGCACTTTGCTCATATTACTTGAATTAGTAATTATTTCAATTTGCCTTGCTTTAGCAGGATTTTTGTTCTTACACCATCTCCTTGAGTATAAGCTCCTTTCAAGGTGAGGCCTTTATTTTATTCACTGTTGTCCTACAACACTTGGCACAGTGCCTAGCATTTGGAAGCCCCCCCTCAACAGAATAACACAGAATTCTGACAAATATAAAATGCAGAGTATTATAAATCTGTGTGATTACAATTGTACCTGATAGATTCATGTTTCTGAAAATGTTACCTGTTTAATAATGACTTGTATTTTAGAAATATAAATATCTAAGACATTTTTAGGTTTGAAATAAAGAATAATTTGGATTATATAGATCAATACACAAGCACCCCTCATTTTCCCAACAAAATTTGAGTTCAAGCACTTTTACAAGAAATAATTTCATCGTGTGAGCCATTGTGTATTATGTATTTCTTTCTCTTTGAGTTGAATATCCAAGTAAGTCATACTTGAAAAATGCAACACAATTCAATTAAATATGGTTCCCAAAGGTATGCAAATCATTTAATGTTAATTTTATGACAGAAATGTCAGCATTCAAATGAAGATTATGTGAAGAGATTTTAGGGCTGCATAATTCAGGTTTAATTTTACAGGACTATGAATTGAGAATAAACTTGGGGGTGAAAATCACTACTTACAAGGAATATTCAGGAACGGCATCCTTGAAGGCAGGAAGTTCTCGCACATATTCAATATAAAACCATTTCACTTTGAAATGCAAATTCATATAATCGGTACTCTTGCATAACCGCTGCTTTTCATGTTCTGTAACAGATAAAATCAAATATTTAATAAAGTTTGGTTTGCCAACAATGCTGTGTTCCAATCTACTTTTATTATTCGTATTTCAAAAAGGAAGAAAATAACATATCTGAGGTTAAAGCAAATTGAATTGCTAAAGACAGACCTGAAAGTTTACAAAATGAAAAAATCATCCGTTAGGTCCTATGTAGAATAGCTCAGGCAGTAATGAGAAATGACTTGAATGGTCTAATGTGCTTTCCTGAAAAAGGTGAGAATTCTGGTGAGTTGAAGAGTGATGATGTATCAGCATTTTTCTATCTATCTGCAAGCTTTCACATTTTGACTACTTTTAGCATGATGCAAAGTGCCAGAAAGAATGAAAACTTGTAAGCATGAATAAAACATGAATCAAACTAGGAGGCATAATCCCTGATTAATACTGGAAATGGGAATGAGTAGATCACATTTTTGGCCTGGATATTTAATACTTAGAGAATTAAGGAGAAGAACTATATTTAACTTCTAAGCCAGCTGATTTCTTCTTCACCTTTTAAGTTCAGCAAAAATTATTTTGTATGCTGTGACCTTTTTTTGACATTTATTTAGCAGGATTTTCTTTTTTTTAAATTTTTATTGGAGTATAGTTGATTTACAAGGTTGTGTTAGCTTCAGGTGTACAGCAAAATGAATCATATATATATATCTCCACTTTTAGATTCTTTTCCCATAAAGCAGGATTTTCTAATATGTGACTTTTTTCCTCTCTCTTGCTCAAAAAGTAGCTTAACACTGTTACTTTGATCTGAACATATAGTAATATACTACTGGGGAACAGAGACAAAAATGTTACTGAACACATTTATCTCTGCTCAATATTAATATGTTGGCCAATTCTGGCTCTAAGTATAGGCACAACCAAACCCCAAATATCCCTAACTATATGTAGGTTGAAAGTGTCCTCTGAGAAGTTCTGGTTGAGGTCTGTGAATCTCCTTCAAGCTAAGGGCTTTAATTTATAATAGGAACACCCTCTAGTTAATATTCCAGGCTGAAAACACTAACTGAAGCAAATAGATTGTTATAAGGTAATTGAGGTTATCCTTGCTTTTCCAAACCTGACTATAAAGGGACTTAAATCCCAATAATAAACACAAGAGGTAACACAACCCCAAATCGAACATTTTCAAATTATGTAAGCAATGATTAATTCAAGACAATTTGTAGAATCAAGAAAGAGGCAGAGACACAGAAAAAACATACATCTATACACAGAAACAAGAGTAATATACTAGTACCTATAGACCAAACTCCCAGACAAAATCATGAACTAGGTGACTGGCAGCCGCTGTGCAAGGATGGGCCTGGCAACCAACCAGACTGGGAGCCAGCCATGCCTACCAGACTGCCCCCAGTATTCTACCCTCCACAACAGAAGGATCCACACACATAGGGGCACCCCTAGAGCATACAGCTCTGGTGACCAGTGAGGAGTGGGCTGCTGAGACACATAGGACATCTCCTACAAAAGGCCACTTCTCCAAGGTCAGGAAACATAATCAACCTACCAGATACATAGAAATAAAAACAGCAAATTAGACAAAATGAGGTGACAGAGAAACATGGTCCAAACAAAGGACCAAGATAAAACCCCAGAAAAAGAATTAAGTGAAATGGAGATAGGCAGTCTGAGAAAGAGTTCAAGGTAATGATTGTAAAGATGATCAAAGAACTCAGGAGAAGAATGGAAGAACAGAGTTATTAGTATATAAATGTTATCATTATTACTATGATTTATGTCATAGAATGTTCTACCTATGTTTTCTTCTAGTTTTATGCTTTCCAGTCTTACATTTAGGTCTTTAATCCAGAAGTTAAAATTGTTTAACAGAGATGAAGAATACAATAACTAAATGAAAAATACACTGCTAGGACTCGACAGTAGGTTAAATGATACAGAGGAACGGATCAGTGAGTTGGAAGACAGAGCAGTGGAAGTCACCAAAGCTGAACAGAAAAAAGAAAAAAAGAATAAAAAGAAATGAGGAAAGTTTAATAAATCTCTGGAATAACATCAAATATTCTAACACTCACATTACAGAGGTCCCAGAAGGAGAAGAGAGAGAAAGGGGCAGAGAACATATGTGAAGATATAATAGCTGAAAACTTCCCTAACCTAGAAAAGGAAGCAGACCTCAAAGTGCAGGAAACAGAGTCCCAAACAGGATCTACCCAAAGAGGACCACCCCAAGACACATTGTAATTAAAATGGCAAAAATTGAATATAAGAGAGAATATTAAAAGCAGTAAGGGAAAAGAAACCAGGGAACTCCCATAAGGCTACCAGCTGACTTTTAAGCAGAAGCTAAAGTGATGAAAGAGAAAAACCTACAACCAAGGATACTCTATCAGGCAAGGCTTTCATTTAGATTCGATGGAGAAGTCAAAAGTTTAACAGGCAAGCAAAAGGTAAAAGAGTTCAGCACCACCGAACCAGCTGTACAAGAAATGTTAAAGGGCCTTCTATAAGTGAAAAAGAAAAGGCCACAACAAAAAACATGAAAATTACAGAAAAAAAAATCTCCTTGGTAAAGGCAAGTATCCAATAAAGGTGGTAAATCAACCATGTACAAACCTAGTAGGAAGGTTAAAAACCAAAAGTAGTAAAATCATCTATATCCACCATGATCAGTAAAGGGAAAACTAGAGAGCTACATGTAAAAGAATGAAAGTAGAACATTTTCTCACACTATATATAAAAATAAACTCAAAATAGATTAAAGACCTAAATGTAAGACTGGAAAGCATAAAACTAGAAGAAAACATAGGTAGAACATTCTATGACATAAATCATAGTAATAATTTTTTTGGATCTGTCTCACAGCCACAGGAAACAAAAGCAAAACTTTAAAAATGAGACCTGATTAAACTTAAAAGCTTTTGCACAGCAAAGGAAACCATCAACAAAAATGCTAAAACCTACTGAATGGGAGAAAATATTTGCAAATGGTATGACTGATAAGGGGTTAATATCCAAAATATATAAACAACTCATACAACTCAACATCAAAAAACCCCCAAACAAATTAATTTTAAAAATTGGGCAGAAGACATGAATAGACAATTTTCCAAAGAAGACAGAGATGGCAACAGGCGCAGGAAAGATGCTCAACATCACTAATCATAAGATAAATGAAAATCAAAACCATGATGATGTATCACCTCACACCTGTCAAAATGGCTATGTTCAAAAAGATTATAAATTACAAATGTTGTCAAGGATGTGGAGTAAAGGGAACCCTAGTACATTGTTTGTGGTAATGTAAATTGGCGCAGCTACTGTGGAAACAGAATGGAGTTTCCTCAAAAAACTACAAATTGAACTACCATATGATCCAGCATTTCCACTCCTGGGTATATATTCAAAGAAAATGAAAACAGTAATTTGAAAAGATACATGCAGACCAGTGTTCACAACAGCATTATTTACAATTGTCAAGATATGCCAACAACCTAAGTGCTCATCAACAGATGAATGGATAACGAAGATGTGGTGTACACACACGCACGCACGCACGCACACACACACTGGAATATTACTCAGCCATAAAAAAGAATGAAATCTTGCCATCTGCAAGAATGTGGACCTGGAACATATTACACTTAGGGAAATAAGTCTGAAGGAGAAAGATAAATACCATATGTTATCACTTATAGGTGAAATCTAAAAAATAAAACGAATGAATACAACAAAGAAGCAACAGACTCACAGGAAGAGCAAACTAGTGGTTACCAGTGGGAAGATGGAAGGTGGAGGGGCAAGATAGGGGTAGGGGATTAAGAAGTACAAACTACTATATATAAAATTAATAAGCCACAGAATGTATTATGTATCACAGGGAATATAGCGAATATTTTATAAAAACTATAAATGGAATATAATCTGTAAAAGTTTTGAATCACTATGTTGTACACCTGAGACTAATACTGTAAATCAACTATATCTCAACTTTAAAAAAAAGAGTGCATGTAAACTGAGATTGGATAGAAAACGTGTAACCTCAGAGAAGAAAAAAAAGGCTGAAAAGAAATTTTTAAAAGTTCAAAGATATGTTTAAATATTTTAAAACAGGAAAAAATTAAAGACAACAGACATCATGTGACTTGGGAAATGTATTATTTGGTGCCACTGTGAATAGAACAGAAAATATCTCAAATATTTTATTATAATGGCATAATTAATCATTTTGCTGAAATAAAGGTGAAAATATACGTTTCTAAAAGAAAAATATAATTTATGACTTATTTGTATCTTCACTGGAAAACACAAACACTGCCTCTTAGGACACCAAAATATGCATATTGATAATTCAATTGTTATCTTTGATATTTTGCCAACTTTCAGCATATTAAAAAATAACTGGTCCAAATTTTTTTATTGTATCAATATGAAAGTAAGTTTATTTTTTTTCTTTTTTAAAAAAAAATTATATTTGGCTGCATAGGGTCTTCATTGCTGCATATGGGCTTCCTCTAGTTGTGGCTAGTAGGGGCTACTGTTCATTGCGGTGTGCGAGCTTCTCATTGTAGTGCCTTCTCTTGTTGCAGAACATGGGCTCTAGGCGCGCAGGCTCAGTAGTTGTGGCTCGTGGGTTCTAGAGTGGAGGCTTAATAGTTGTGGTGCACAGGTTTAGCTGCTCCGCGGCATGTGGGATCTTCCCAGACCAGGGCTCGAACCCGTGTCCCCTGCATTGGCAGGCGGATTCTTAACCACTGCACCACCAGGGAAGCTCAAAAGTAAGTTGACTTTTTGAGGTAAGACGATAGAGCACATTTCATTTAAAAGTATATTAGCTTGATTTAGAAATGATAAATATTTAGGTCTATGCTATGTGGACCTCCATTTATGCTCTTGTCTTTGCAAGTGTTAGAGGTGAGAGCCTGGAAATGTATTACCTTTTCTAAGAGTTTTTGCACATTATCAGAGTCCCGAAGGGAAGGGTAACCAGTTCCATCTAATAACA